ATATATATATATATATATATATATATATATATATATATGGATTTTATCGCGTTTTGATAAACTTATTTTAACTTGTTTTTAATTCCCGACGTTTCGAGGGTGACCATGGGTTCTGTAAAGCACTCGAAACGTCGGGAATTAAAAACAAGTTAAAATTAGTTAATTAAACGCGATAAAATCCTTATATATAGTTTTATTCAATACATAATATAGTGCATAACATAATAATTGTTTATAAATTTACAACAAAGTGATAATTCAGGGCAGTATTTACATTATCCGGGCAATATGAATATTGAGAAGTCAAATCAGACTACGTAATTTATTGAAACTTCATTATTTATGACATTGTCTAGTCATAACCTAACCTAACCTATCTCTTTATTACTCTGGCCAATAAATAACGGACAATTTAATAATTTTATCATATTGCTTAGTCATATTGGGTGTTTTTCAACTTTCCTGGACAATATAAATAACGCCCTATCGCCATTATCATTTGGTTAATAACGTTTTTTATAGGATAAGAGTGACAAACGAGCACACAGTCCACCTGATGGTAAGTGGATGCTGTGTAGACATCTACATCTATCCTCGATTACGAATCAAACCGCAGATGCGTTGTCACCCTTGAGGACTAACATGGAATGCCTCGTTTCCAATAAAAAAGGGTCTCCGGATCTCTACACTCACCATACGAAACACAGCAGTATCAAGCTGCTTTTTTACACTGGTATTCTGTGAGAGCGTGGTCCTTCCCCGGTCGAGCCGACCCATTAGTGCAACAACAGCGTGGCTCTACCACGTAAATGTATTGTTGTGCCTCAATTTATAATTTTATAAACGGTAAGATTTTATAAATGTTTTCAAACATGCTAAATTGTTTTATCAGGTGTCTAAAATGACTACAGTTCGGTTACGTCGCGTTATCGACCGTGTATAATGTCTACTCTATGAATTATATGTCCCTATTTCCTTTAGTAGCCATTTGTCCGTTACGCAACTGTTGAGAATAGAAAAAACTATACGTTATAAATATATTAATATTCTTATGATATTTATTTCATATCATCTTTTACCCTCGACTCCTTTCACGTAGAACACTTACAGATCTATATAATATAGGTATTTTTTGTTATTATCTCAAAAACTATGTTTGGTATGGGAAAATGGTCAAAGTAAAAATTGAAGATTTTAGAGAATATCTATTCATTTTACGTAAAAAAGGTGTCATCACCTTATTCTTTAACACTCATAGTTTTGGTGTAGAATTATGATGTACTAAAACTCCAATTCAACCTTCATTCTATCCCTTAAACTGTTTAAGTGGTAGAAAAAAGTGTTGGACCTTTTATGTAAAATTGCAAACCAAAAAGTTTTTTTCAAAACTTTTTTATATCCCCTATAGTTTAAAACATAATCATCAAAAATATTTATTTTATCAATTTTGCGATTTTTCAACACAAATCTTGCATATTTTTTGGATAAAATATAGCCTGGATCGCTATGGCATTGCTTACTATCTGTGAAGTTTCATTACTACCGGTACAGCCATTCTTAAGTAATAACCGGGCGTCACACAGACAGACATGTTTATCATGCCTTAAAAGCATACAGTTCTTTCAATTCATAAGACAGAAACGTCAATTTCATTTTTTTAAAGGATAGGGTGACAAACGAGCACACAGTCCACTTAATGGTAAGTGGTTGCTGTGGCCCATAGACATCTACATCTATCCTCGATTACGAATCAAAATGCAGATGCGTTGTCACCCGTGACATAGTAAGATGCAATGCCTCGTTTCCAGTAAAAAGGGACTTCGGTTCTCTACACTCACCATATGAAACACAACAGCAGTAAGCTATTATTTTACGCCGGTATTTATCTGTGAGAGCGTGGTACTTCCCCGGTCGAGCCGACCCGTTCGTGCTACAACCATACTACTAATATAATTGCAGCATGGCTCTACGACGTATAAATTTATACGTATATGTTTATAAAGACTACTACTTAGGAAATTAAAATTTTTGTAGTCTGAAACCTACACGGATAAATGGTTCCAATCCCAGGCTGTGCTGCGTACTACTGACGAATGTTTTACTTAAAGTTAAGCTGAAACACAAAAAAAAATTTTTGATGAGGAATGGAGGGCTGATGAAATCTTCTCCTGGTTATGATTGCCTTTTTCGAATTACCGAAAACAGGAAGAACTTCTGATCAGAAACAGAGAGCTGATGAAATCTTTCGCTTGACAACAGTTTTTTTCGAATTAACATAACTTATACCGTATCCGATATCTTATACCTTAGCTTTTTTTTTTATAGAATAGGCTGACAAACTAGCACACAGACCACCTGATGGTAAGTGGTTGCTGCGGCCCATAGACATCTACATCTATCCTCGATTACAAATCAAAATGCAGATGCGTTGTCACCCGTGAGGACTGAGATGGAATGCCTCATTTTCAGTAAAAAGGGTCTCCGGTTCTCTACACTCACCATACGAAATACAGCAGCATTAAGCTACTATTTCACGCTGGTATTCTGTGAGAGCGTGGTCCTTCCCCGGTCGAGCCGACCCCTTCGTGCTACAACTATACTACTAATATAACTGCAGCATGGCTCTACCACGTATAAAACTTAGACGCCTTAGACGTCTTACCTCCTAACCGCGTATCTGAATATTTAGATTTGTCTATTTAGGAATTTTTCTGGAATATTACGCCAATATACACATATATATTTATCTTTGATTAATCTAAATATTCAGATACGCGGTTAGGAGCGTCTAAGCTAAGGTATAAGATATCGGATACGGTACAAGTTATCTTAATTCGAAAAAAGCTAATTATGCCCTCGAAAAAAACTAATTATGTCATTACGCCTCAGCATCTTAATATTATGTGGATTGAGTGCTCATTTGTCAACCTTATTCTATTAAATAAAAATAGGAAACTACAGCACCAACAAGATTTAAATTCAACCTTCAACTTGGCACCTAAAATGTTTTTGTGGTACTTTGGAACAGTATCTTATAGAAAAGTGGAAGTCTTTTAGAATATAAATAAAGAACCATGACAAATTGGAACCGATTTTCAATCCCTGTTAAAAACAATATTTAACTCACATCAAATTATGAATTATAGTAGTTTTTTTTAAATCAATTAAAGTGTAAAACGAGACGGCAGTCCAATTAATGGCCTAAGTGGCCATTAAAGCATTTGACTAGCGAAATAAGTTATATTATAATATATACTTGAACCCATAAAACAATAAAATGTGTATCTATTGCATAACGAAAAATATGTAATAGGCAACGTATATTGAAAAGATAGTATATATCTATCATTATGATTATTTTATTTTGATTGCAAAATATAATAATCAATTACAGCCTATTAAAGTTCACAGCTGAGCATAGGCCTCCCCCATAGATTGCCTCATAGGGAGGGAGATATTTGTTATAGTTGTAATGTTACTGTTGATTTAATAATTTCACCTCTCAGTGAGTCATGTGCTCCTGGTAGATTATCTTCTGTACATTCATCCGTTACAGTCCATTAAAGTCCACTGATGAACATAGGCCTCCCCCAAGGAATGCCACAAAGCACGGTCCTGAGCCACCTGCATCCATCGACTTCCTGCTTGTCTTACCTAGTCATCACTGCATCTAGTTGGGAGTCGCGGTACGAGGCTGCCACTCGAGAACCACTTTTCTCCATCCGTTGTCGGTTCTTCGAGCTATATGGCCGACTCATTGCCACTTCAGCTTACTAATCCGTTGTGACTTATGAATCTGAAGCATGGTCCTTCATTGCTGGCCGTATGAGGACGCTCAAGGTCCACTCAGCGAGCTATGGAAAGGGCTATGCTTGGAGTTTCTCTGCGTGATAAACTTAGAAATGAGGATATCCGCAGTAGAACCAGAATGACCGACATAGCCCAACCAGGAGAACATGAATACGATATCACGATGGACTGAAATTGAATTGATAATAAATGATTGAAAAGTGATTCTAAAATGCTCTGGCTTATCGTATTAAAAGCCTTTTCACTATTGCCTTGAAGACTACCATATTTTTTTTTGAAGAATAGCCAAATCAATTTGATGTAGTGATAGTTCGTATACTCTCTTACGTAATTTAACCGCCTTATTTGATGAGGCTATTCTCAGATATCATTTTATGTCGCAGCGTCCAGGAAGAATAAAACTCGAAACATCAGCCTTTGTGGTTATAATTTTTACGACTATTTTATTTCACCAGCGCGACAACAGAAATTGAATGACTATTAATCCCACATTATAAAACCCTGATAGTCAAACGTCAATTCATCCAATAAAATATACCTATTTAAGCAAATCGTTCGCATAGTCGTCTTCCTATTTATTATCTGTGATGATTGAACCTAATGAATGTAGCTCCATTGATCTATGAACGTAAGTTTGAAACGATTTCAAGCATGCGTAGGACGACTACTATAATATATCAAACCTACGGAGCGTAGGGAATTCCTACAATTAAAATTCATTAAATTCACGCCGTTGAATGAGTACTTCATGAAATTTACAATCAAATACGAGGTTTATGTTAAACGGATTACTAATTTTAATTTTGATAGGAACACCTGTTAATTTTCTGAAAAAATAACCTTTTTTGCATGCTAACTAGATAATAATTAAGCTAGCTAATGAACGGTTTAAATCATATTATTGGGAAGGATTTCTAAGTAGTAAGTAAAGGGTAAACTATGTAAAAATTAGGGAAGTTGATGAAGATTATATAGATGAAGATGGACACTGTTACCTACTTGCTCCACATTTAACATTATTTTTCCTTCCTTAAGGGTTTGCTGGAAGACAACTCTCATTAGGGTTAACCTCGCCTTTGTGTCTTTTATTCACATGGTTAAATTGTAATCATCTTCTAGTGTGTACGGTAAAGAATAGAGAATAAGAAAGCATTAAGAAAAAATCAGTTTGTAAATAATAATGGACTTACTTGATTTTCTTGATTGAGCAACTTAAGTTGGTCATTAATGAGGCTGTATTTCGCGCTCTCCTCTTTCCTCAACGCCCGCTCCTTCTTCAACTCCGGACTCCAGAAGGTCTTTATGCTGTGCATGCTGGAGCCCAGTTTCTGATTGGTCAGTTCCAGTTCCTTCTTGAGGTTGCCGAGTTCGCGCTGCAGATCCGAATTCTGTGATTGGAGCTCGCCGAGGAATAGCGGAGGCGGTTCGCGGCGGTAATAGTCATCTTCGGGGGGCGGCGGGGGGGCGTAGGAGCGGTCGTAGTCACGCTCGAGGGACTGGTAGCGGAGCGGCCGTGGTCTGGCGCGATGGTGTGCACCAGCGGAAGCGGAGCGCCCACGCTCGTCGGGCGCCGGCGAGGGCTCGTCATCGCGCGCGAGGTACGGGCTCCGGCGGGAGGGGCTGCGGTCCACCTGCGGCAGGCGGCTCCGAGCGCCGGACCACTCCTGCCGGCGCCAGTCCTCACGGCACGGCGGCCGCTCGTCCTCCGCGGCGTACTCGCGGAGATACAGCTTGACGTGTTTCCCCCCTCGTCAGTGGGAGCGCATTGTGCACTGTGTGACGGGTGCGCGAACACTGAGCGGGACGCTTTGCTCATCGATCGGGAATACATTCGCGCATGCGCCGCCGCGGAATCCAGCGGCTGAAACGACGCCGGGAATAGTACGGGTTGCGGTTAATTGAATAAATCCGAAATAGGGTGTAGGGCACTGACATTTTTCTATTGCCACCGTGTAATCGATGTAATAGTCTGGATTCTGAAATCTGGAGTGGTTAACAATTATATGTCAAATACAATATTTTTACTATTTAGACTTAACTTACTATATATTTGTATTTATTACAATTGTCATTGTAACAAATGTAATATTAAAAGTATCGATTTAATTAACATAAAATACAAAAAAAGGAACGGAAGTGGCTGTCAAATATAGATATATTTATATCAATAATTTCCCATATAGCTATGAACAGCACATGAATAAAATAAGTTTGTTTATTTTTACTTAACTTTTATAATTATTTTTTTCAGTTTGAACACTTAATTCAACTATTCGTAGTGTTAAAAACTTAAAGTCTAGTTTAAATAATCCGATACTCACTAGACATAAATGTAAATATTAATAATTTGCATATGTGACTGGGCTTCTGAAGGAACTCGTCTGGTTTGCTAAGTTGTTCCAGCATTACACTTATATAACTATCTGCCGTAAAAAAAAAAAACAATGCAAAAGAGCCAGTATAATTTCAGGAAGTAAAACATTTGATATTATTTCTCAGGAGTGAAAAAGGGATGACAATATGTAACCTTTATTTGGACTCTATTAGCTTCTTTGACACTGTAATACATATGATATATAGATACATTAAAAAAAAATCATCAGTCTCTATTACTCGCTCCTCGTTAAATCATAGGATATCATTCTCCCTTTGTTAACAAAAACAAAGAAATTCTTAAGCGTATTATAAAATTAATTATGTCTTTAAATCTCCAGACAGATGTCTATTTATAGAAAATTGTTTCAGCTTCCTATTTCCTCGAATGAGTTTTCAGCGATGCAGCGCTTAAATCCAAGAATGTCACTTCAAGACGCTTTTTATCCCGTGACCTACTTACAGCGTGCGTACTCTTCACTTGCCCGAATTCAATATATTTTCATCTCTTTCTGTAGTAAGGTCGAAGTTATGTCGGTCATAGGCGGGCTGCAAACGGGAAGAGCTGAGTGCTGTGTTGATGCTTTTATCGAAATTATCCTTTAAAATTACGATTTGACGTTACATAATACGGAGGTTACTTTTGCCGCCTTAACATTTTTCTTACATATATTCGCTGAGTAGTTTGTTTAGTCGAGTTTTTATAGAATATTTTACAAACGAGCACATAGTCCACCTAATGGTAAGTGGATGCTGTGGTCCCAAGATATCTACATTTATCCTCGATTAAGAATCAAAATGCAGATGCGTTGTCATACCTGAGAGCTAAGATGTAATGCCTTGTTTCCAGTAAAAACGGTCTCCGGTTCTCTCACATTTACCATACGAAACACAGCAGCATTGAGCTTCTATTTTACGCTGGTGTTTTGTGTGAGCGTAATCCTTCCCGGTCGAGACGACGCATTCGTGCTACAACCATAGTATAGCTGTGGCATGGCTGTACCAAAATCCAATAGTTTTCGATAGCAATATAACTATTCACGCTTGACGTAATACAAAGACTAGCAACGGGTAGCAACATTAACTATGCGAGACGTCTGATTATGCGATCTTCAATCGTTAAATTACTGTATGTCGTAGAGCCACGCTGCAGCTATATTATGGTTGTAGCACGAATGGGTCGGCTCAACCGGGGAAGGACCACGCTTTCACAGAATACCAGCGTAAAATAGCATGTTTCGTATAGTGAATGTAGTGAACCGGAGACCCTTTTTACTGGAATGGAAACACTCACCATACGAAACACAGCAGCATTAAGCTGCTAATTTATGCTGGTATTCTGTGAGAGCGTGGTCCTTCCCCGGTCGAGTCGACTCATTCGTGTTAGAGGTTTTTCTGAACCATTGGTAAAAGTAAAAATACTTTCAATAATTATTCTTGCAATCTATATTAAATAAAAATGATTCTTTTCTATTATATTCTACAGGTCGTAACGATAACGTAAAATCTGAGCAGCTTGAAAGGGGCTTATGTCCTTCAGACATCTTTCTACAGGTTGATAAAAAGTTGAATAAAATAGGCATCGTTTCTTGGAAAATACTTCAAGATTTTACCTATTGTTGTATAGCGCAAAAGGGTTCTTGAGTCTTGAAGTTCAAAAAGGCGGAAAGCGTTATTGTATAAGGATTTCTTTAAGGATAATACACCGTCTAATTAAAACATGGTCTTAGAGACGTTCTTTATTTTTATTTTGATTAAACTGACAATATCCACTCATTAAAATTGAAAAGAGTTTTTTATATGATTGTCGTGTTGTAGAGCGGTAAGATATCCATTTTTTTTAAATAATATAAAGTTGACAAGCGAGCACACATACCACATGATTATAAGTGGATGCTGTGGCCCACAGGCATCTACATTAATCCTCGATTAGGAATCGAAAGGCAGATGCATCGAAAGACAGTGAGAGCGTGGTCCTTCCCCGGTCGAACCGACCCATTCATGCTACAACCATAATGTAGCTGTAGCTGCAGCGAAGCTCAACAACGTATAAAATGACACGAAAGTACCAACAGCAACACCACACATCTTATAAAAAATATTTTCAAAATTTAATGTTGAACGAGTAACACGCAAAATACACAACCGTTTTGTTCGAAGGCCTGACTTCAACTGGTCACTGTGAACTCGACTATCTAATTTCTTGCATTTTAATTGGCTGGGGGGGGGGGGCGTGGCCAGGCCGGCAGACAACGATGACTCACTATTTTCTTAACGCGAACGGACTATAGTGTAATACAGGGCAACCTCTCAGCAAAACCATCCTCCTTGCCTGCACCAGTAGAACCACCGACAGACAGAACCACGATACTTTCTACTACTTTAAACTTAAGTTCAAATATATAAATAATGATATACCGTTATTGCACCTTTTGAAAATACGAGTAAATAAGGCTTATATTTTTATTGGAAATTATCCCAAAATTCAATTAGATTTATGGACGATTTTGCTTACCGATCGACCCTTACGAATGTGTACGTGCGCAGTAAAATCAGTTAAAATAATATAGGTACTAATTACCACGCATTTTCAATTTGAAACGTAAAAAGGACAGAATCTTTGATTTCTTTTTTAATTAATTTTTCTTTTTTTATAGAATGAGGGTGACAACCGAGCACACAGTCCACCTGATGGTAAGTGGATGCTGTGACCCATAGACACGAAGAGAGTGAATAATCTAAGGGTGTAACATGTGAACGGAGTAGAAGCCTATGGCACTGATATTTTACAAAAATAAAAACAAAATTTTTTAATAGAATAAATTAATTAATTAAAATCTATCGACATTCAAATCCACCCTACTTTACGAACTGCAATAAAACAATAAATTTAGTAAGCATCTTTGACCATGTCACTTCGCAAGGTCACAGGCTAGAGTGAATATGATTTGAATTTCGATAGATTTTAATTAATAAATTTATTAAATTCAAAAATTTTGTTTTTATTTTTGTAAAATATCAGTGTCATAGGCTTCTACTCCGTTCACATGTTACACCTTTTTTCTCAGACGGTAAAAAGGTCGTACATATATTTTTAAAAGGTAATTAATTTTACCTTGCCTATTAAGTGCATGAAAATATGCGGCGTATTTACTACCATAGTTTACTAGTATAGTTGTAGCACGAATGGGTCGGCTCGACCGGGGAAGGACCACGCTCTCACAGAATACCAGCGTCAACTAGCTTAACTCTATTGTGTTTCGTTTGGTGAGTGTAGGGAACCGGAGACCCTTTTTACTGGAAACGAGGCATTCCGTCTTAGTCCTCACGGGTGACAACGCATCTGCATTTTGATTCACTGAAAGGCAAACATAATTGTTACCTTTCTTTCTCGCCTCGTAGCGTGTAGCTGTTTGGCATTATAGTAAACTTAATTTTGGACACCATTTCATTTTTCACATAAAATATGTTTAATTTTTTTAACTCCAAGTGTTTGACTACTATGCCACCCGATGGTAAGTGGTGGAGTAAGATGGTAAAGATGGCAAAGCGTATTGAAGATACTTTACGAAAGTCAATTCACTGTCTTCATAACTCCTATATTGTAATCGGATAAAAGACAATTTGATTATAATGTTGCTGCTGGCAAATTTATCCACTGCTCTTCTGTACGAATTATGAATGACGAAGTCATTTGTTTTTTTTTTTGTTTTTGTAATAAAGATTTTTAAGATAAAGAAAGGTTTAGTACCAGTTATGTCCAATGTTTAGTTCGAATGCGTGATATGTCGACAACAAAGAAATGTATAGAAAAGAAATAAAAGTATCATTAATATCCACAAAGTTAACGCCTGATTCTATTATACGTGGTAGAGCCGACCCATTCGTGTTACAACTATGATATAGCTAGCTATATCATAGTTGTAACATGAATGGGTCGGCTCGACCGGGGCAGGTCCACGCTCTCACAAAATACCAGCGTAAAATAGCAGTGTGATGCTGCTGTGTTTTGTATGGTGAATGTAGAAAACCGAAGACCCTTTTTACTGGAATCGAAGTATTCCATATTATTCCTCAGGGGTGACAACGCATCTGCATTTTGACTCTTAATTGAAGATAAATGTGGATGGATGTCTATGGGCCATAGCATCTACTTAGCATCAGGTGGACTGTGAATTCATGTCACCCATTGCTATAAAAAAATAGTAGTCGTACTTCCGACGGTGAACGAGCTCGCGTTGCTATAAGAGACACCGCGCACTGCAGATTTTCTATCGGGCGAGAGTTTTGTCTGTTTGAGCTGTAGTGCTATGAGCACTGGGCCAGTAAGACAGTCGGGTTAGTGGTACGCACACAAGCCAACTGTCGGCTGTAATCGCGTAATGAAACCTAAAGTTTTGTCCAAAAATGTTATTATTATTGCTATTATACAACGAAGGAGACGGATCAAGAAAATAAACCGAAAATACAGGGCACATACACACATAGATAGATTATTATAAAGGAAAATTTTGAAAATTCTGGGCGAAGTGATGTTATCAGCCGAGACGGCAGACTAAACAATCGGCGTGTATGTGCGCGTCGGAGAGCGCCACACTGATTTAGCAGTTGGCCGATGGTTGAACAACAGTTTAATTTGAAGGGAATCGTGCAGCCCATCAAACTGACTTATCGGCCAATAACGAATCGTTATAATTTGCGTTTCGTTTCATTTTTTTATAGAATAAGGGTGATAAACGAGCACACAGTCCACCTGAAGGTCAGTGAATGCTGTGGCTCACAGAAATCTACAATTATCCACGATTAAGAATCAAAACTCAGATGCGCTGTCACCCCTGAGGACTAAGATGGAATGCCTCGATTCCACTAAAACGGGCCTCCGATTCTCTTCACTCACCATATAAAACACAGCAGTATTATGCTGCTATTTTACACAGTAATTCTGTGAAAATCCTAACTGATAAACAAACCGACTAAACTCGCCCGATGGAAAGTATGCAGTGTGCAGTGTCTCTTATACTTTGAAATTTGAAGTTAGTGCCCAACTTTCTCTGTCACTACCGAACCAGTGAACGACGCGACGGCGTCTAATGATATGAACTATACCAGACTTCTGGTACTGTGATTGGCAATACATCTCTGAATATTAATTTACGATACTTACGAAGTGCAATCGTATCATGAATTATCACACCCGACCACCACTCCACTTCGAAAATACTCACATGCTACGGGAAACATCGTCAAGACGTAGATAGTACTTTGTAGGCTAGGCTGCCAAATCGGAAAACCAAAATATATGGAAAAATTTTTAAATGGTATGGATTGACTGGAAGGTTGTTGTCGGGAGAAATAAATTTTAAAAATAAAAAGTATATTTTTAATAAAGAGGCCAGCGAAAGTACTAACAAAACTAATTTAAGTATACTTAATTTTTCGGTAATCTGATGTATTTAGCATTGGACTGTAGAGTCTATCAATTTGGATCCTTTAGTAGTATTCAGAAAATATTTAAAATACAAACAATTTACTTCAAAGTTCATTAAATTGTTCAATTAGACTGAACTTGAGTAATTTGTAATTACTAACTCAGACTTTATTAAATCAAAGGCCATACGTTAACTTTCCGAGAAGCTGTTTATCTGGAGATTTTGAGTTGTGTCGCAAGTCTGGATTTAAAATTTCAGGAGAATAAAGACGAATCCCAACCATCTGGCAACCCTATTTGTAGGTCATGAAGCAGCTTATAGAATTTTGTCACTGAATAAGACAGCGGATACATATTGTTATATAGCAACTTTACGTGGCACGATGCAGCTATATTATGGTTGTAGCACGAATGGGTTGGCTCGACCGGGAAGGGCCACGCTCTCACAGAATACCAGCGTAAAATAGCAGCTTAATACTGCTGTGTTTCGTACGATGAGTGTAGAGATCCGGAGATCCTTTTTTACTGGAAACGAGGCATCCCATCTTAGTCTTCAGGGGTGGAAACGCATCTGCGTTTCGATTCTTAATCTAGGATTGATGTAGATGTCTGTGGGCCACAGCATCCACTTATAATCATGTGGTATGTGTGCTCGCTTGTCACCTTTATTCTATTTAAAAAAATGGATGTCTTACCGATCTACAACACGACAATCATATAAAAAACTCTTTTCAATTTTAATGAGTGGATATTGTCAGTTTAATAAAAATAAAAATAAAAAACATCTTGAAGTCCATGTTTTAATTACACGGTGTATTATCCTTAAAGAAATCCTTATACAATAACGCTTTCCGCCTTTTTGAGCTTTAAGACTCAAGAACCCTTTTGCGCTATACAACAATAGGTAAAATCTTGAAGTATTTTCAAATAACGATGCCTGTTTTATTCAACTTTTTATCAACCTGTAGAAAGATCTCTGAAGGACATAAGCCCCTTTCAAGTTGCTCAGATTTTACGTTATGGTTATGAGCTATGGAATATAATAGAATAAAATCATTTTTATAAAATATAGATTATATTTTTGTTATTAAAAAATATATGTAATACTTATTGAAAGTCATTTTTTAATTTTACCACCGGTTCGGTAAAACCTCTATCAAAATTCCGCTATAGTTGCTCTATATTAGTCCTCAGGAGTGGTAACGCATATTTATGCATTTTGATTCTTAAACAAAGCTAGATGTAGATGTTTATGGGCGACAACATTTACTTACCATTAGTGGACTGTGTGCTTGCTTTTTACCCTTATAATATAAAAAATTTCAAACAAAAACGAATTCAAAGAAAACAAACAAAAACAAAAAGACTTCTAGGACAGCAGATTACTTTGGATATACTAAAATAGTAATCGGTAAAAAAGAGGAGTGTAAGAGGGAACATGTCAATTTTGGAGTCGCAATAAGCAGAAACATTGATGTTTTCCATCCCTAGCCTACAGTGATGAAGGTCTATAATTAAGTTGTATTTGATGAAATGAGATGCGGTGTCGTGGCGGCGTAAGGGAATCCTCTACCTATTCATCATCATCATTATCATCATGATGATGAAGACGAATAGGTTGATGAAATGATTTGCGGTGTCGTGGCGGCGTAAGGGAATCATCTACCTATTCATCATCATTATCATCATGATGAATAGGTTAATGAAATGATTTGATGAAATGAGATGCGGTGTCGTGGCGGCGTAAGGGAATCTGCTACATATTCATCAACATCATCATCATCATGATGATGATGAATAGGTTGATGAAATGATTTGATGAAATGAGATGCGGTGTCGTTGCGGCGTAAGGAAATCCTCTACCTATTATCACCCCGTAAGTGTCGTTAAGTCGCTAAGACATAAGCCTCTCCCGTAGATTGGATATTTGCCATACAGTGGACCCGCGGTAATCCGACAAACATTTTGCAGAGCAGTTTCGGACTATCGAATTTGTCGGATTATAAAGTACTGCCTAAGACCCCTATAGTCCGGAATTTTTTAACAAAAGAGTACCTTGTAATCCGACATATTTCAGATCCAATGATAAGATTCTATATATTATATTATGTACTCTGAAGTACAAATCATACTTCATGACGTCTAATTCAAACTAAACAATCAGAATCGAAACAATACCCTACGCGTCGAGCACAATAGTGGTAGCGCGTACAAGTTATAACTTGTTAAATTATGCATTAGCGAAGATTGTTAAAAAATATTCAATAATAAATAATAGACAATGTCAAATTATAGGGGGTGCCGGATTAGACAGGGGCCGGATTAGAGAGGGGCCGGATTACCGGGGGTACACTGTAGTTTATTTTTTTGTACGTAATCACTGCAATTTGTAATTGTTTTTTTTTTAAATAATAATTGGCGAACGCAAACTTCATCGAACTCGATATGAGTTCGATGAAGTTTGCGTTCAGTCAGTATCGAGATAGGATGTAATGGCTTAAGCAACAGAAACGTAGGCAGTATTGGCAGTACCGTCTTTATCATAAGGGCACACGGGGCCCGTGGCCAGGGCCATATCATCACAGGGGCCCCCGTTAGGCCTTATTCGCTTACGCTATACAATCTTTTTCTATTTTAGGAAAATATAACCCGCCAAAAAAATTATAGAGTAAATGAGGGCGTTGTTAGTGACTTTCTGGCAACCCTGAATAGTGACAATCCATAGTCCACGCATTGCCAGAAAAAGTGGCATTGACAGATTTCTTAGGTAGAAAATATGTAGTTCCGCATTCCGCCGCCATCTAAACGTTTTTGTCGCGCTGTATCTGTACAGTCGCCTTATTTATAGCCAGGATTTTTTTTAATTTTCAGCAATCTATGTATTTATAATCCGTGAGATAAAAATATAATTTCGTACTGTTTCACAAAAATAACACTTTAAAAGATTTAAAGGTAAATCATTAATTTGATATGATACTTTTCAACCACAAAT